CATACTTTAAGACAAAAAACGTCAAGGACAATACATAGAACAGTAGTGCTGAAAGCATTTTTGTAGAGCCAATCACTGAGAATTTAGGAGTACCAGCTATAGTTTTCTATGCAATTTTATTTTTTGCTTCTTTGTATGTGTCCATTATTTTCAGTTGCATGCTGACAAGAACTTAAAATCTATTTGTCATAGTCCTCCCTTATTCTGTAAACAGGTGGTACTTCTGAAGTTGAATAAAAAACTTTATTTTTTTCTATAATTTCCTTTCTGTGGGTAGGATAAAATCATGAGTTTAGATAAAAACTCTATCCTAGGAATAAAAAAGAAAATAAATTCATCTGATAATTAGGCCCAATTTCCACTTATTAAAATAAATATATAGAATTAGTAGAGAAGAAAGCTGCTGTATACTGGAAGAACAGAAAGAATTAATTAGACTTTTGGCCTTGTTTTGGCTAAATTTCTTAATCCTTTCCTTAGCCTCTTTCATCTGAATATCTGCAAATATAAATAGGTTTTATGATGATACTCCTACCTTATCCTGATTTCAGCTTGGTCTTAGACAAAAATGTCCTCAGTTCTTCAGTTAATCTTACCATGCACTATGAATGTGAAATTTGATGAATGATTAGATGAGACAGAACCCCAGAGACAAACTTCTTCTAGTGTATGGCGTATTAGCCACCAACACTTTAATTATTTCTGCTCATACTGTACATGTCCTAAGTGTAAACATAAATCACCAATTTCCAGATTGCTATTCTGACCTTTTGCTTCTTCTGACAGGGACACAGGGAAATCTTTAACACTTCAGGAGAAAAATGTAAAGGTAAAACAAGACCCTTCAGGAGTAATCTTAGGCACCTGTAGTTATGCTTAGCATGAAAGAACAAAACCCAGGATCTTACAATAAGAATGTGGCCTGGGAAATATGTAATCTAGTATTCAAATAAACCCAAACTCACAGATTACAGCCTTAAATCAGTTAGAATTATGTATGTCAGAGAGGTGTGTGTGCACTGCTTCAGTTTTGAAAACCAGTAGTTTGCTAGTATGGTCAGATTAATGAATAAGGCCTGACTTGATGAAAACTATTCAATGCCCATTTCATCCAGGGGTTTCCTCTTTCATGCAGACAGTCAGTCTGGTTTTATATCCTAACTCTCAGTATTTAAAATTAGTTTAGTGACCTCATCACAGGATAGAAATAAAAAATCCTCCAATGTTTGTTGAAGATGCTCATATCTAATCATGCTGAAGGGTATTTAAGAGTTTGTATAAAAAATTTTGTGTAAACCATGCATTTTGATACCTCTAGGTGTTATAGAAGGTAATACATCTAGATATCACACAGCAGAAGCTGTGTAATCAGTTTCTGATCAAGGCAAAACACCTCATAGATTTTAGTAGTTGTCATCCTAAACTGTTACTCATGGCTAGATTTTTCAAACTTATGCCATGTCCATGAATAACTTCAGTGCTGCAAAAATTTCAGGCTCAGATGTGTTTAACTCTGTTCCTTCTTTCCCCCTTGGACAGAAACAAACTCAGTTAAAAATTTTTTTTTTTTTATGATGCACTTAGGTGACTAAATTATTTTTTGTCTACCAAACCTAATATGTGGATTTTCTTGAAATAATTTTCTTTTGTGCTCTGGAAAAGAAAATTATTTCATTGTTAGATCAAGTTGAGAATTACTGCCAGTTCCTAGAAATGCTACCAGACACCGAGTCTAGAGTGTTGTGTGATTGAACCTTGGCTCCACCAGAAACAAGAATGCTCACTCCCATCATTGGATCAGCTTCTACCGTTTTTATATAAACTGATTCCTGATGTTGTAGGCCACTTCAAACAGTAAATGAAAACTCACAATTCGTAGTCTGTTTACTCAAAACTAGACTGAAAGCAACCCTGTTTTACCACCTCTTGGCCTAAACCCAGCTCTTATTCTGAACTGTCATTGGTGATGACGGGCAGATATATTATTTCCCACAGATCTCATTTAACAAAATCAGTAACCAAAGAACTTCAAGTGCTTTCTTGATCTAAAGAATAATGAGCATATAGTTAATAAAAATCCTTTTCACCATATTGTTTTGATTGAGTATTTATACAGATATGTCAGGCTTAGGAAAAATGAAATATGTTACGTTTTATAACCGTAGTCTTGTGCTCATTCACATTAAGCAATCAAGAGTGTCTCAAATGGATCACACATTGGCTGTTACATTGTCTTGTTTTAGAAAAACCTCTTGCTTTCACTAGATTATTGTGATTGTTTTTAAAACATTGTTATTAGGCTTTGGATAGGGTATTTGAATATTTATTCTGTTGAATAAGACATGTACTTATAATAAGACTAGCTAAGACATGCACTTATCCCATGCAATAGTTGCCATGAAGTTTTGGTTGGTACTAGTGCCTTATTAAGACTGCTTGGCTGACTGTTACTTTGCATCTATAGGATGCTTTTCCTTTGGATCCAGAAAAAGAATTAATTCTAGGCTAAAATGTACGGAGATAAACTGGTAAACTCTTCCAACAGTTTATTTTGCAACTGAAGACTATAGTGCTCAGCCAAAGGTGTGGTTAATTAGGGTGGGCCATAAACAGTAGCTTGGAAGAGAGTGGAGATGAGATGTTTTGCTCCATTCTGTATTTTGACCTGGAGTTTATGTGCTTAGTTGTGTTATTGCAGCGGAGCTGAACTGGTCATACCAGTCCAAAAATTCCTTTGTGGTAAGCCTGTACAGCAATTTGATCTGATTCCAGGATTGGATGTTACGAGGTCGGGAGCAGGCATATCTCAAAATAATCACTGTTTTAGCAGCATGACAAATTTCTACTCAGAAAAGCCCCGTTCCCATTGTTTGAAACTTGAGGAACTGTGTGAATTTATGGAGATATTTACTTGGGAGAGAGGAACAGAGTAGAAGGGCAGCAGTCCCCACGTTAACATTGCTTTGAATTGTGGCATCTTGTTCAAGTCTGTACCCTTTTCAGAGTATCTAGATTTGCAATTATGCATATGTGCATGCATATTAGAAAACTGCCCTATACCCAAAGGCCTGTTCTCATAAGGGAAGATGGTGAATTATTGCTTTAAGTTCTGAGTAATATGTAGTGATTACATGATCTAATAAGAAATGCTTATTTTGTACGAAGCAGAAATTTTTATTCTCTCCATCATGACTATACATGCATTATAATTTAAATAGAGTTCTTAGGGGAAAGAATTATTTGCTTGTATTGTGGGAAATGGAAAATTCCATCTATTGAGCTTTCTGATTATTATTTTGTAAATTTCTAAAGCTTGTGGTTGATTTTATTTATTTATTTTAATTTTTTAAAAAAAGCTATTTGAGCTGGCTATCAAAGGAATGTTATCACAAATGAGTCCAACTGTTAAGTCCAGCACTGCAAAGCCCTCACTAAACCACATTCCTAATTGAATTTTATTGAACTTGAGAATTATTTCAGCCACCTTGAAACAGAATTTTTCAGTTAATAAACTTGCCTGAATGCTCTTCAGTCCATTTAGGACTATTTTAAAAAATAAAGATACATGAAATAAATTAAAGACAAATGATTACCAGGCTCTTATTTAGTGCAGGTAATTGGGAGCAGCTGCTGTGACTCAGTGAATCAGCAACAGTTATAGATAACAGATGGTAAGATGAAGGCAGTGTAATTTTTTTATTTCACATGAGAATGCCTCATGGTGTGGCAGGGTTTTATTACAGCAACAGTACTGTTTGTCCAAATGATTGATGCACATAGTATTCTGCATAATCTTCTTTAATGAAAAATGTTGTTGCCATGAAGCATCAACACTGTGCTGTTACTGAACATGAATTTTGAATGACTTATGGCATAAAGCTGCTGGATACTTATATTAATGAAATAAAAGTCAGGAAGAGCCAAAGGTAATGTTCTTCCTGCAATATTGACTCCTGTGTACAATATTTCTGGTAGTTAGTTAAGGGGTCACATCTGCAGCCTCCCTGTTTGTGGGATGAAGGAACGAGGAGGCATATGAAGCAATACTTACTGTTTGGACATGAAAGTGGTTTTATTTTTTTTCTCCTCCTCCCCTCTGGTATTGTCAAGGTAAGCTGAGAATGGATAGGAAGGATCAATGATTTGGCTTTAGAGAGGAAGCAAATTCATCTTCCACATGTACTGCCTGCGTGGGGAAGCACATTTCCAGCTCTGCTCATGAAACAAAATATTTGTGTTTGTGTTGCTGTTAACATCTGGTGGTGCAGTTACATAGCAGAGGGCTATGGGAGCACTGAACCATGCCTCTTCCATGGGCCTGAAGTTACTCCATGGATTTTCTGAGCTGGATTTCAGGATTGGATGGAAATATGTTGAATGCTCTCCACCTGAAATATTGAACAATACTTTTGTTTTTCACTTGCTGACAAGTGGATGAGAAATCCATCCTCCTGGAGATGGAAGTAATCTCTTCACCTTTGTGGCCAGTGACACCACTCAAGGAAATGGCATGAAGCTGAGCTAGGGAAGGTTTAGGTTAGTTACCAGGAAAGGGTTTTTCACCCAGAGGGTGCTGGAGGATTGAAACAGGCTCCCTGGGGAAGTGGTCACAGCATCAAGCACGCCAGAGTTCAAGAAGCGTTTGGACCAATGCTCTTAGGCACATGGAGTGATTCTTGGGGTGGCCTGCATAGAGCCAGGAGCTGGACTTGATGATACTGATGAGTCTCTTCCAACTCAGCATATTCTATGATTCTATGACTGTATGATAACTCACTTACTTGAGCCTAAATACAATGCACTGTTTGCCTGGCGTCATTGTAACTGATCTTTAAAAAGTGAGTTTTGTTGATTTCTTGCATGTGGCTTTGAGAAACTTATAAACTTCCAAAACTTCCACCTGTCAAGCATGTATGCTAGGTCTCATGCTGGGAACTAATACTCACTGTCAAACCTATTTCTCTTTATACTAATCAGATTTTTGTTTTGCTTTTTTTTAGATTGCGGTCTTTGGTAAAGCAATTAGAGAGAGGAGAAGCTTCAGTTGTAGACCTTAAGAAGAATTTGGAATATGCTGCGACTGTTCTTGAGTCAGTATACATTGATGAAACTAGGTGAGTTAACTCCAGACATCAGCACTCTCATATCTGGTACCAATGACACAAAATTGTAATTTACATGCCAATTGGGAAATTTGAGCCAAGATTTATTACTGGCAGAAAATATGTTTTTAATCATTAGAATATTGTATTCTGTGTAGAGCAGATCTTCAATCCTTGGTTTAAAAGCTTTTTTAAATTCTATGGGGCAGGGAAGGAGATAAAAAGAAATCATAAGTGTAATATACATTTTCATGGAGAAATGTTCTCATAATAATTGTGTCACACTTTTTCTGAAAGTTTCTAAATTCCTACTCATTTATTCCTTGTGAATAATGTTAAATCTTTTTGCTTGTATCATATCTTTGAAATTAAAAAAAAAAAGTTTACTCCAGGTCATAATAGAGGTAGACTGCTAAGACATTGCAGAAGAGTTCCTCTGTTATATGCCGTTTATCCAGTGGCAAATGCACTTGTGGAGTTGCCACAGATGATCAGAATGAGAAAGGAGATGACTGTATGTTACTAATTCAGAAGTTAGAAGTGACCATAAATTATCTCTGAAGGGCAGAAAGTTCAGAAATATTGATGTGCTGAAGATGTGAAGTCAGTGAATGATTATGTAGCTGTGATTCAAAAGGCTGATACTTCTAGTTTGTCAGCCTAGTAGTGAGTTTTACAAAATGAAATTAAAGTATTCAAGATAATAAAAAAACTGTTGAAAACTTATATGATTGTGTTTGATTAGGAATGATAACCCAAAGACTTTTAACAGCTGCTTTAATTAGAATATGTGTGAGGGGTTTTTTTGTTAATAATGTTATAGTGATCTCTAAGGGAATCTGTTTACCCATTGTTCCTCACCCTTCTAGGCGTTTACTGGACACAGAAGATGAACTGAGTGATATTCGATCTGACTCTGTGCCCTCAGAGGTCCGTGACTGGTTGGCTGCTACCTTCACACGGCAAATGGGGATGATGCTCAAAAGGACAGAGGAAAAACCCCGCTTCAGGAGTATTGTCCATGCAGTGCAAGCTGGGATATTTGTAGAAAGGTAAAGTAGGATGTAACTACTTTGTTCTAATAACTGCCCAGGTACAAGAGATTGCACAATTACTGGAGGTGGAGGAGAATACCTTAGGGCAGAAGACCTCAGAGAAAGAGTAGGTTACTCCATTCAATGAAGAACACTTTAATATGCTTCTAATGATGTTCCTACACAGATCTGGATAACACCTTAAAATCTGGGATTAAGTAACAGATTGCAATCTGAAACAGTTCTGTTTCATCTGTTCTTAGTATAGTACAGATGTAATAGCACAGCTGATATAATTTTGACAAAGAATATACATTTCTGCATAGTTCTAGGTCAGGAGAGACAGCATTTAATATTCAGTCAGGCCAGACCAAACTCTCCCTAGCCTCTGTTTACTTCTATGGTCCAGTATTTCTCATGAAGAATTGCTAAGAAACAAACCAAAATCCTTTATCATAGTATTACTAGAAAGAACTATAGATCAAGATTGATGTGAAAATTTTAGAGTTCAGGGGGGATTTAAAGAAAGCCATTGAGTCCTCTTAGCCTTCCCTGTTGCGATTAACATCAGAATCTGTTGCCAGAACTGATTTTATTTTCTGAACACTTATTTAAAACATTTATTCATTTCAATTTGGACTCACTTCCAGTCTTGATTTTTCTTATCAAGTAACACTCTTTGCTGACTCTCTTCATTCAAGCTAAAAGGAGGTCTGGCACATGTGAAACTGTCAACAGTCTTTAGACGGCCTGAAAGACAGTAGCTCCCGGGTCCCTGGGAGAATTTTGTAACAGCAAAATTCAAGTTAGGAATGGAGGAGCAGAGCACCTTTCAGTGTTCATCAGAATTGCAGTGACAGCCTAACAGCCCTCTGTGCAGGAGGCTGAGTGTCTCAGACAGCAGACCACAAGCCACAGAGATACACAGAAGCCTCCTTCGGCATGATTATAGCCAGTATTTTTGTCTGTGCACCATTTACTGTACATGTGTTAAGAGTGGCAGCAAATTGTGACAAGCATAAACTTGTCATTTCTCCTTGGAACAGGTTTGTCCTAGGTTTGACAGGCTATTTGTGAATTAACCCTCACTCTTAATGGGGGACTTGCTCAACAAGGAAGGAAATGAACTGCTGCAGAGTAGGCTGTAGAAGGCTGTTTTCCAGCTGATCTGAATCACTGTGGCCCAAAGGAGATATAATATAGCACCAGAGGAGGGTTGTGGCTCTCCTGAGGGAAGGGAAAGGGACTCTGCTTGAATTGTCGTAAGAGAAGGCTGTGAAGCTTCTGACTGGAGTGAGGAAGGGGATAAGAAGTTTTGAAATTTGAGGAATGGGTGAATATAATTCTTCAAAGGAGATACCTTTTCTATGGTCTGAGTACAGAACATGATAGAAAAAATGGAAGTGAAGGAAGACTTTGCACAGGATCATTTCAGATGGGAGAAGAGAGCTTTCCATCATCTCCTTTTAGCCCTATGATTCTTAAGGACAAAAAAGGGTGACCTGTGAAAAGGCATTTTAGCTATGACAGTGCTTCTGCATTCACTAAGCCTGTTAAACACAGTGTGCCCTGAAAACAAGTTTAAAATCTAGTACATGCTTTATAATCTTTTTTAAAAATATGCTTTGTAATCAAGTATAAAATCTGCTACATTCATGTTTTTAGTATGGTTACAGATGCTGATTTTCACCTTGTTCTTTCTCTCTCACTCCCTGAAACACACACACAGGGCGAACACCCAAAACATTTTATACTAATCTCAAAAACATACAGACAAAAATAACAGCTGTGCCGAACTGGAGTTGATTCATTGCGTACGGATGATTTCTGAGGTACATTCAGAATTAGCGGGCATGTGGGCCAGCAAGGACTAAGGGAACTGAAAGATCAGTACGGCCACGTGCAATGGGAAATTGGGAACATCTTGTTATTTGAGTGTAGCCTTTCCCTCTGATGAAGACCCGGTATTGGCAAATTCTTTGTCATGTCCTGCTGGGTAGCCAAGCTATGAGATAATGGGGAGTGTATAGGCTCAAATTAGACTATACAATAAGAAGAGTGTAGAGAATATTGTGTAAGTTAGGAACAAGATGGAAGGAAAAAAAAAACCAACAAATTGCCATCAGGGTCCTGGGCCAAATAAAGTCTCCTGTAATGGTCTGTTGTTTTATGATTTTTGTTGATTGCTTTATTTTGTTTTAATTCTAATTATGTGTTACCTTATCTATTTTATCTTGGTAGAATGTACAGACGGACTTCAAATATGGTTGGCTTGAGCTACCCACCAGCTGTAATTGGAGTGCTAAAGGTAATCCCAACAAAAAGGTATTGAAGGGGAGTCTATACAAAGCCTCAACATAATACTGCGATATTCGACTTGATAAGGGAGTCTTAGTACTTGGCCTTTCCTTCTCTCTGACATTAGTTTAGTTCACATACATTAATCATTTAAGAGACCCAAGGGAATATCCTTTCAATAAAGGAAAGAACAGAGTTCAAGGCTGTGGCAGTTTTCAGGTTGTGAAGGTAACAACTCTGTTCCAAATTACAGTGATTAAACCAAGGACTTGGGAATCAATCACAACATCCCACAGGGAAGAAAGAAAATAAAGATGGAGAGAGGTGGAGAAGGAAAAGGATCAGTTGCTGTGAGAGAAGGGATTTCTCACATTGTTCAGCTTCAGGTCTTCAAGGTGACAATCAGTTTATAAATATTGACCCTTCTATGAGTTTTGAGGTTTCAGAGGAAAAATGATCAGTCATAATTAGTCTGAAAAAAACCCAAAGGTTCAATCCATGGGACAATCACAAAATTCTTTGCTTAGGAAGGAATTATCAAGACTACAAACAGATGTTAGGAGCCAGCTGCCTACACAGCTTCTCAGTTTGTAGATTGAGAGAGAAAGTGAGAGAAATTGAACTATCATGGCAAAAGGGATGACCATATTGTCTTTTCTACCCACTCTTACAGAATGTTGACAAGTGGTCCTTTGATGTATTCGCACTAAACGATGCCAGTGGTGATCATGCACTGAAATTCATTTTCTATGAACTTCTCACGCGCTATGATCTGATCAACCGTTTCAAGGTCAGTAGTTAGAAGATGGTTATCTTCTTCCATCCTGGATTTTGTTCATCTTCTCTCTCATTTTGCTTTGTTCCATTCAAAATGCAATTTTAGTGGTCTTTGAAGATTTTATGAACACTGCACTTTCCCCAATAAGCATGAACAGATGTGATTTAAGTAGTACTTTCAATTGCAGTGGAAAACCATGAAGTAGATGGGGTTCCAAACAGGTTTCCACATAAAATACTGCATATGATCCTCTCAGAATGATGGTGTCATTTTCCTGAGCTTCATAGGACCTTCAAGTATGCAGTCACAAAAAGAGAATAAGAGAACATGAATGCAAATTCAAATTTATTACAATTAGTTAGACCAGCAAATGATTCTGCTCCCTCCTCCACTCTCATGAGACTCCACCTGGAGTACTGCATCCAGGTCTAGAGTTCTCAGAACAGGAAAGACATGGACCTGTTGGAATCACTCCAGAGGAGGGCCACAAAAATGATCAGAGGGCTGGAGCACCTTTCCTGTGAGGAAAGGCTGTGAGAGTTGGGGTTGTTCCTTTGGAGAAGAGAAGGTTCTGATGAATGTTCATTCCAGCCTTCTAGTACTTGAAAGGGACCTATAAGAAAGATGGGGAATAACTTTTTATCAGGGTTTGTTGCAACAGGACAAGGGGTAATGATTTTAAACTAAAAGAGGTAGATTTAGAATAGATGTAAGGAAGATTTTTTTTTTTATGGTGAAAGTAGTGAAACACTAGAACAGGTTGCCCAGAGACATGGCAGATGCCCCATCCCTGGAAGCATTCAAGGTCAGATTGGACTCTGACAAACCTGATCTAATTGAAGACGTCCCTCTGCTCATTGCAGGGACGTGACCTTTAAAAGTCCACTTCAACCCTAACTATTCTATAATTTTGTAATCGTTACAGAGGTTTGCAGATACAAATGTTATGTATCTTTTACTCCAACTTTGAACAGGCTTAAATTTGACCGGCAGAAACATTGCCATCTAGATCTTGACCATTCCCCTCACACAGATTCTCTGCTGTCCCTTCCTCTTTTGACATTTTCAATTCCTATGGATCCCCGCTCACTTTGGCTGGAAAATGTTTACAGATCTCTGGGTCCTGTACTTCTTCAGTAACTACCCATGTCTGATGAGACATCTTTGAAGAAGGTGTCTGGTCAGAGCTGCATTCTCTGCTTATATGTACCCAACAGGACAACAGCAGTGCTCCTCTATGGAAACAGTGAAAGTGGAGAACCCCTGCTGCCCATGTTGCTGGTTGCATACATTACAGCTGACAGCACCTGCATAGTCTCCTCTGTAGAAGTCCCCTCGATTGCATTTCTTTGAGTGTCTGAAGTTAATCTTGGAGTTAGAAAAACATGGCAGTCCCATAGGATGTGCAGGCTGGATTTTGCTGTGAAAACCTGGAGGTCTGATAAATGTTTCTCAGACTTGCTATATGATGTATTTCATTAGAAAATCCTGAATGTGAGTAGTAAAGCAGAGTATTCTGCTGGGTTGTGAAGGCAATAGACAGTTGCTTGTAGCCTATTTAGAAATATTTTTCCAGGGACAATCAATAAAGTGGTCACTGCTACTTTTCATAATCTATGTGTCTTCCAGACAACATTTCATAGTATACTTATTTCTGTGTGTTTATGTATGGGAATGATTCACCCATAATGTAATTATGGATGGAAAAATCAGTTTGAAGGAGTAACCTGAATTCACTCTCTCTCAAGTGCCTGTTTCAGATATTTTAGTGTTCTGTTTATTTGTCAAGTAAAAACTGCTCTTGGGAAACCTCTTATCAAAATACTCCCCTCTGAATGCTAGCCATTAAAGCTGTTTTGTTTTTTTTTTTCTTTAATTCTGTGATGCTTTACTTAGATTCCCATTTCTGCCCTGGTGTCCTTTGTGGAAGCTCTGGAGGTTGGCTACAGCAAACACAAAAATCCTTATCACAACCTAATGCACGCTGCAGATGTGACACAGACAGTCCATTACCTCCTTTTCAAGACAGGCATAGCGGTAAGTAAAGGACTTGGCATCCTGAATATATAATACAACAGTTTTTGCCTGATAATGAGATTGTGATTATCCACATTTGCATTGTAGACAAACTTCATTTGATATGTCTGAGCTAATGCAAGTAGCGACTTTGGATTATTTAGAAATAGAAGGTAGGTGAAGTTGTCAGTAACTCTTTTAACAGTGATCTAAAGAGAATGAATGAAAAAACTAAGCCTGTTTTTTCATTCTACCACAGATCTCCTGTGTGAATCTGCCAACACAAGTTGGTTGTAATTCATTTCACCTAATATGAAGGATTGTATTGTCTAAGCTGTCCTCTTAACTTAAGCAATGGAGGCAGTACATCCAAAGGATAATTCATTCCAATTATCTGAGCATAAGAGCCGTCATCTGGAAATGCTGATCCCCATCCACTTCTTTACAGCAAAACCATCTTGAACTGGTTTACAGAGAAGCCTACAAATGGCTGATATCTGACACAGTGTCAGGAATGGATAGAGGGCTTAGAAAAATATACAATATTGTTCCCACAGGGGTTTTCAAGACAAACAACAGAAATACACTTGAAGATGGACTAGAGATAAATATTTATGGTATCTAAAGCCTTCGCCTCCAATGCACTTGATGTTAACAACGCTCCATATGTGTTACTCCTTGTGTGTCTGGAAAACCAGACAATGAAATGATTGATTGACCAAGAGAGAAATTATTAAGCCCACATGAGTTATTTATAAATCTAAGGGAAAAGTGACTTAAGCATTGAAGAGTAAGACTTTTACTAGGAAATCAGAAAAAAACCCCTAAACTCTAGGGCTTTCTCAAACATTTCTAAGAATGATAAACAAATAACAAAATGTTCATCTTTTGAGGTTATCTTCCTTATTGTCCTCATGATTCAGCAATTGGTACAGACATTTAGTTACTGCAGTTTACTGACACTTTTCTATATCTGAGGCTCTGCTACACAGGTCAGCTGAACTGGAAATACATACCCTGGTGGTATGTGTTTACTTGCATATGTATCATCAAGTTCCCTTCAAAGAGCCTTGATTTTCTTGAGGTTTCCTTGTCTCTGTTCTTCAAACATTGCTCTTTCAGAAGGGCATGTGTTTCCCCTTGCTCTGCCTTAAATCTTATTACTCCTGTAATCATTTTGCTGAAGTTCACTTTATTTAGATGGAGATCCAGGAAACACACTGGTTTGGCTTTTGTGTATTAGCTGGAGAAGTTTGCTTTAAAGCAGCTGGCAGGCTGCAGGGGAAAGGCAATGATGTGCAACACTGACATTCAACAGGGGATAACTTGCCTTAAAAATCAAAAACTTTAATGCCTGAGAAAATGTAGCAGTGGTATTAATAAATAAATAATTAATAAATAAAGAGTCCTTGGGACTAGGCAGACACCAATTTGGTGTGTAACAAATGCATTGCTTTATTGAAAGAGACAAAGGCTTATACAGTACTTTCAAATGGTGACACGTCACAACACGTGACCTTTTCAGCCACTCCCATGCAATCATTTAACTCCACACGTGTGATAGAGGACTTAAGAACTACAACTGCCAGGGTGCTTTGCTACCACCCATCCTGTAACCCAAAACCCCACAAGAAAATGACAACTTAGCTGATTGCCCTGTCATCTCTTTTCAGCACTGGCTGACGGAGCTGGAGATCTTCGCTATGATCTTCGCAGCTGCCATACATGACTATGAACACACTGGAACCACCAACAACTTTCACATCCAGACACGGTGAGGCCACTGTAAATCATGATGAAGGGTTGGAATATGAAGGGGGAAACCTGTGGTGAATAATAGCACACCTAGAAAAGTGCAGGAACTTCTGTTTTCAAGTGATACAGGAGAAAAGTTCACTTCTTTAGGTTGCATTCAATTTTCTCCTCTCAACCATTTACAATGGAATGCATGCATTTTAGCTTTCTGAGCATTGTTTCACATTAATGATCAGGAAAAAGAAAGGACCCAAATTATTTCTGTGTAAGAGTGCCAAAGACAAATTGATGTACAGAGCAATGTATTTTAGTGTATTATAGTTTTGAAGGAGATACTGTAATTTGGAATTTTTTTCTCCTTGTTGAATTTGAAGAATCAAACATTAACTGCATAAATCAGGCATTCAACAAGATTTGTTGTATTTGTTAGTGAACAGCAACACTACACACTACTATTTTCACTTGAGTGGAAAACCACATCTGCAGCAAGGGCTTATGTTGACCATTACCTGATCAGGGAAATATTTTTTAAAAGCTTTTTAAATTGCTAGACAGTGATTAACTGATCACAAACTAGACTGGACCAGTGTATTTTATAAGGCTTTTGGGTTAATGGAAGAAAGGAGAAGATGAAGAAGGCAGCAGAATTCAGAAGTAGGCAAAGATTCTGAATTCTCTAGTTGTGGTGATAACTGGACATTTAATATCTGTGTATTATTTTGACAATAGGAGACAAAATGTTTAGATGTCCTCAAATGGTGCTCTGCACTTGGGCATTTCTAAGGTGCATTGTATCTTACCCTGAGTTAGATGTCTGTAGTGTGTTAGCTGATTCACGTTGTGCATCAGCAATGGTTGCTAAGATAAAGCACACATGTGCAGGAAAGTTGAGGAATGTAGAAAGAAGTTTCTGTCTCTCTTCTGTGCCAAACTACACTCCACTTGTTACTGCTTCACACATGCAAGAATTAGGGATCTGCTGTATTTCCCAAATACTTATAAAAGGATTAAAGGAAGGACAGTTGTAATTTAATTTCTGTAACACTGGACATCAGAAGGTGTAAAATGTCAGAGAAGAAAAATACACATTTTTTCTCTGAGAAGCAGGTCTGAGTGGGAACTGTAACAAATCATACTGGTCCTCTGTTGCCATTAACTTCTTTGTTTTCAGGCCAGTTTAGCTAGTGATCTATCAAAGATCTCTGCCCTGAGGCTTAAAGTAAGGCATGAACTACCTTTGGTCTTTCTCTGTCCCATTGGCAACTGGCTTTCCAGACAGCATAGTCTAGCACATGGATGTCAGAATGCAGTTCAGCTATGTCTTGCTTGCAGCCAGTTTGCTGTTCTGGACACAATATTGGGTCACATCTTGCAATTGCTTTCTTGGGTATAGTCAGGCTTTAATATCAGAGCAACATACATAAGAACTGGAAAAAAACCTCATGGTTCAAATTGAAATTTACCTATCTCTTACAGCTTTCAGTGCTTGTTTTCAAGTATGTAACAAAGCAATTAGTTGAGTGTCAGCTGGTGAAATAGGTTTTGCAGTGAGTTTTGATCTTTACATTTATTTTACTGAATAACAACAATTAACAAAGTATTACAAATGTTCTTAAAATGCTTGTATCTGTCCTATAGACTTAATTGCTGCAGCTGATCACAGGAAAACTTCTGAATTTGAGACTCTTTAGACAGGGAAGAAACAACCTTTCCTATGTTTTCTTTTAAATGCTAGGTCAGACTCAGCCATTCTGTATAATGACCGGTCTGTGCTTGAAAATCACCATGTTAGTGCGGCGTATCGTCTTTTGCAAGATGATGAAGAGATGAATATTTTATCTAATCTCTCAAAGGATGATTGGAGGTAAAAATTAACATGGTGGCTGCCGAGGAATATTGCAGCATCACCATAGATTGCTATTACATTGTATATGTAATATTAATTATTGTATATTACATGTTAGTATTTCTATGCTACAAGGTAAAGAACTTTGAAAGGTGTTTGTCTTGCTTATTCCTCCTTTCAGTTTTCATCTCTGATACTGAGGCTAGGCTTTGTGATGATGCATTATAATACAGAAATTGACTCCCATCTAATTTCTAAGTATCCCAGAGAAAGTCTTTGTACACATCCATTTTTAAGTGAGTGTAGAGCTAGCCTACTGTTTGTTCATCCTAAAGCATAAACATAACCTTTATCTAGTTTGACACTTCCTACCTGGAAGTTATAAATGGAACTTAAATAATCCAGTCCATGGAGCGTAGATCAGTCTACATGTGCCAAGGTGATGTAAGAAGCTGTAATTTAAAATAAGCGTCAGGAAATATATGATTTATGTGCCAAAGTCAGCCTTTCTAATACCAGACAATTCAAACTGATAACAGTTTTTATGGGATCTTTTGAACTTCAAGGTGTGGTACTTCAAAAATAGCCCAGTGTGCTAGTCAGAAGGAATCCTGCTCTGTGGTCTTTCTCATGGAGGGGGAAGCAACTTATGGGACCCTTTGTAACACACAATGCCTTCTGCGTAGGCTTAAATGTGACACAGTGTTGAGTAATTGTTTCATCTTGTTTTAATATAAATGTGGGGAAATTATTCCTTCTCTGGGACCTGGCTTCTAGTAAGATGGTCAGTGAAGGCTCTGCTTGCTAATCTGTTTAGCCTGAATTTCCTGTTTATTTTAACTTGTGGGCAGTGATGTGATCCTATAGCTAAACACCAAGAATAACACTCAGGAACTTAGATGGCTGATTTCAGTCAAATGTGAGTGTTGTGAAGGAGTGACCTAAAATTCTATTCCCCAGTATGGAGAATAGTCTCATGGTGGGCAGTAAAAAGAGCAGGAAAAAACCCAACCCTGCACTGAGATGTTAAAAGTCCCTTTTAGCTATAGCTGGCAATGCCTAGTCAAATATCAACAGCAAATTACTTCTTCCTTTTATGTTGGTGGGGGAACATAAGGAACTAACTGAGTAGAAACATCAGCCTTAGAGCCACTGTCTGCAGGGAACAGCCACTCTTTACAGTGGAACAGCTAACTGAGTATGCTTCCTTGCATAGATACTGCCTTTAGGGAAATGGTCTGCTTTCAGGCGTTAAGCTGTTATTGATTGAATCAAATCCAGCTTCAGATATTTCTCCTTGATTCGATAGTGCCAACATGTGTGTTCTGTTGATGCGATGTGCTTGGACCCAAAGTTTCAAGTTTAACCTATCTCTTTAAGAAATACTGTAAGTGCCAGAGCAAAAACAGTGAGTGATTTGGATTGCTTATTTGTTCTCTCTCAAGTAGGGCTTTTTTGTTTTATAGCTGCTGGTCAAGCTGCAGAATTAAGACCATTATCTGGAAGGGCTCTAATTCAAAAACATTGTGATTTTTGCATGGTTTTGCTTTTGACAGTATTTCATACATTTCTGATAGGCAAGCATTTGAGAAGCATTTGTAAACATTAACTGACTCAGCAGAATCTGAGGTGTTGGGAAAAAAAACCCAAACCAAAAAGCCTAGAGTTTTCCATTCTGGCACTCAAAAATAGGACACTCGATATTGAAGAATGCTTTGGGAAACTAATAAAGTGTGCCCAAATTAAACTTCACTTTTGCAGACAGACCTCATAAATCTCTCTCAGCAAAAGGCTCTGGTAATGTTTTTTGGTAATGTGGTGGTTTTAATCTAAATTCTTAAGTGTCTTTCTGAGCTGAACTCTGATACCTTTTTTCACATTACTAGTAAGAGAAAATCTGATGATCAGTGGATTTTGAAATCCCAGATCTCTATGTGGATTTTATAACTTTTGTGGAATTCAGTCATCTAGTTAGGGAGTGTATTTTTAAGAAAGATATGGAGAAAATTGGAGATGCATTTCACTGTTGGAAAATAAATGGCCACAGGTTCTGTAAGAAAAGCAGATGAGAATGGAAGAGAACTTTTGTGTTACCGTCACGAAGAAAAGAGTTGAAGTCTTACTAGTACTTAAACTACTTTTTTCCCTCTTTATTTTAAAAAAACCTCTGGTGCTTAGTAAATATTTGAAAATCACTTGAGTTACCTCATCTCATGAATTCCATTTGTGCAAGTTATCAACAAGTTAATGAGAAACTATAACAAAACCAGATCACAGTGACCTAAGAAAATAAACTGCAAAGTGAACAGATGCCTTCCAAGATGCTGCTATAGATATCTTTTCTGGCACTGTATTTAATTGCTAATAAGTTTGATACAGTTATTAAAACAGAGCCCTTTACTGCCAAGTACAGCAATAAAAAGGTGTCTGGAGAATCTTTGGTTGCTACGCTTTGTATGGGAGGACAACTTTGGGAAGTAACCTATAATTCAATACTAACTTTGCCAGAAAAGCTGCTTGGTATTTTGTCCCTCAGATAATTCTGAGCCCTCCTTGTCAATCACTGTTATTCATTTCAAGATTGCGGTGAGAAACCGTGACTTTCTTTTTGACTGAAGACAACTTTGGTCATGCTCTTCTTTTGTAAGTATAAGCGTGTGCATGGTTGCATAATCATGCCCTTTCTTTGTAAATTTTTGTTCCTATGAATTCAGGATGGGCACATGAATATTCTGAGTGTTATACCTTTTGTGAGAACCAGGCAATGATGATATTTCATTTAATGTAGTGTTTTCCTATTAATTTCTGTAATAATAAAGTGCTGAGGCTTCAACCGGACAAAATTATCAGTTCAGGAGATGTTGTATTGTGCACTAAGTATTTTTGTTTAAGCCTTTTTTGTCAATTCTGGTAATTGTTATCACACTTCAGCTGTCTGTAGGTTTCTGTGTAAGCCAGCTGAGCTGGTTTGCTCTAAAGAGTTGACAGAGATCAGCATCTTCAGATCATGGCTCTTGTTTTCTCAGATAAGTGTAATGAATTGCCTTTCGAATTATCTCAGCTAGGTAAGACAACTGAAGAAATTCTACCACCAGCATGTACTGAGTGATAGATCATAGGACAGAGAGGTGCAAGCTAACACAGTGTAGTGGGGCTCTTGGTGTGTCTTTTAGGCCACTTTCAACAACTGTTTAGTTGCTCGTGCTTGGGAGCAACCTTTTGTGCATCTGGTCTGCCCCTGTGCAGTTCCATAATTGCCACACAGCTGTTGCTTGCAATTCTGAAGCCAGAGCTGGATGCTCTTCCCTGAGGAGTCACATGCTCCAGTACCTCCTGTAAATGTCCTGAGTCTCCTGTGTTGCGTGTAGACTGTACCTGTGAATTGCAGTCACACTTCAGTCAGAGCAGTAAACACTGCTGTTTGTCAGAGGCAGATTTGGAAGGAGTCCGGCCCTATCTGTCTCAAGAGCTGACTCAGATTGCCTGATTCTGATGGAAGTTGTGTCAATTGCTTCTGATTGTGCCTGAAATAAAAATGATTTAGGTCAGATTTTGCAGCTTATCCAACTGCCTACTCAAAACCGCCCATGAGATCCTAAACTGGTCACTGTTGTTTTTAGGACCGTTAGTTAATGAGAATGCACTGCAGGGTGTAGTCAGTAAGAAGAGGTGCAATGTGTACATTCTAATGGTGAGGAAATGGATCCCTTTTTCCTCCTCAGATCATGGAAGAAGGACAGTGGGTAGATTATAAGGGTATAATGCTCCTTCCTTTCTCATCAGCTTGCAGTATTTCCTCTTTTCTTGGGTGCGGTTTTAAGTTACCTATTTTTTAAAGGCTTGGACAACATAGGTATCGATGAGTTTTAGTCAAGTTCACCTGATTCTGAGGCTTTAAAGTTCTTCCCTTCCATCTAAGAATGCTCTACAAAAGAAATCCATTTAAGAAGTTTGTGCTTAATTGAAAAGGCAGTACTAATACCAATATGCTCTTCAAAAAACATCTAGGATTTCTCTTACCAAGGATTAGCCACCTGGCTTAATTTGCATACCCACTTCTGTGTGTAGAAATCTATTTCCTATCCCTGAAAGAGGGATAATAGAAAGAGTTACATACAAAGGCATTGCTGTCAAAAATTTGCAGATAGACAACAAAAGAAACTGGAATGTGTCTGATGCTGGGTTTTGTGCTTCTCTTTCCTTGCTACTCTCATTGTGATGCCATTCAAAAGAGAATTCAGAGCTCTAGTGATTGAGATGGTGTTGGCCACTGATATGTCCTGTCACTTCCAGCAAATCAAAGCTATGAAGAATGCTTTGCAGCAGCCAGAAGGGTGAGTCGCTTTACAACACAGTGCGGTGTGGGGCTGCATTTTCAGCAGGAGCTTTGCCAGTGTGTTTAAGTTCAGAAGCACTTCTCCAGAGGCACTCACTGTCTCTCATGTCCCCATCAATTTTCTTTCTGCTGTTGAATTTGTAACAAATTCACTTAGGAAGGCATTGGCACACCCCCATATGTACATCTCAACTCTGTGCTGGTGGACCAAAGCTTGGAAATGTTCACCATTGTTGAGACAAGCCTCACTGGGAATTTTCCTGGTGGGTAACACCATGATTCAGTTGAGTCATCTCTGCAGATTGACTATGACACAAGGTTATAAGATCTGCAAAAAACAACTTACGCTTTTGCCCTTCTGCTGATGCTATCAGCTGCAACCCCTGCAAGGGGCCTGCTTCATAACCAGAGAATGCATGAAAAGAACTTGAGATCCACTGAGGGAACAACTGGAAAATAACAGATGGAGCAGTATGGGGAAGGTCTTTTCTTCTTCCCAGTATGTCACCGGGAGCTGTGATATTTTGTTCACAGCTCTTCCCCTCAAATTTCCTTCTATACAAATCTCTGAGTGATTTTTCACCCTTGATAAAGGTCTGTAAGCATCCTAGAATTATACCTGTGTAAGAATTTTATACCTGTAGCAGACCAGAGTGTGGCTAGCCACTTGGTCTTCTCAGAAGCTAAAACTCTTTCAGTTATTTCAGATAGCCAAAAAGTGGAATTAAAAAAAATGAGACCACCCATCCCAAGAAAGCTTTTGGGCTAGCCTCTTAGGTTATGGTTTTTTCTGTGAAAACAAATGCTGGGATTCGCTTCTGATCTCACACTAGTTTTCTATCAGTGAAACATTTATCAGTTACTGTGTAGACTCATCAGAGTCCCTCAGAGATTCTGATTGTTCGTTACAGTAGGATGGCAGGGACCAACTTCCCTTCTGAGTGCATAAAATGCAGCCCAGATCAAATCGGAAACACAGCAGCTCTGCAAGCCTGTTAGTCCAGACAATCTAGCCTGGAAAGTTGTTCAACAAGGTTGAGCAACATTTCTTTTTGCACTTTTTAATATCTCTTTTAAAATAGGAATGGTGTATGTTGGAGAAATAAGACACTTGTTCAGAGGTTTCTGATTTTATGAGCAGAGAAATTACTTTATTAATATGCTGGCCAAGGATTCTAATTACCTTACTTCCCTGAAGGTAAGATATTTGTCATTGTCCCCTGCAGGAGTAGACAATTAATTTGTTTGATCCTTTGGTTTTTTAGAATTGACAAGCCGAAAGCCTTATCCCTGTTGTTACATACGGCAGATATCAGTCATCCGGCCAAGGCTTGGGATCTCCACCATCGCTGGACAACGTCTCTGCTAGAGGAGTTCTTCAGACAGGTAAAACCAGGGCAGTTCCTTCATATTTCTGCAGCTGAGAGGGAGTATGTAGAATTGGGCAAAGAATTAGGAAGATATGAACACAGATATTTTCCTTTCCTCTGATGTAAGAACCTCCTAAATGATATGAAGCTTTCTCCTCTGGCATCAGTAACACTGGCCATTATGCCAGTTAAGTGGCATACACTTAACTTTTAGAAAGTTAAGTGTCTGATACACTGCCTATAGATGTAAATGTTTTCTATCTAGAAGAAATTCTAATTTGGAAAGCTGATATGTCTTTCAGATTAGGTAAACATGGAATATGTGTCACTCTACTTAGCTCTACAACCATAAAACCAGATTTGGGTAGCTGTACTTCAAAGAGCTGTACTTACATTGCTGGGGTGGATATGAAAAAGGTTTATTTTTCCCTTACTGTAGGTGAAGTCAACTGATCAGATTATAGCTAATAGTGGACCATCTGTTGACAGACCCACAAATCTAGACAAATCATTGAGCTCTGTGTGATGGTTAAAAGGTCCCCAAGTGATTAATAAAAAACATTTAAAGATTTGCCTTAAAAAAAAAAGAAGTAAAAGTAAAGAGAGCTCTTAAGGAGTGCTTAGGACGCTTTTCACTAATACAAATTACTCACCTAAGCAGAAAACTAAGTGCTTATTTTCCCTCCAGAGTTCGATAACTTCATGTTATATAGTAAATCTGAATGAAAAAGGGAAAAATCTATGACAATTTTTTAAAAGTTCTGTCAATGTTTTAAAATTACCTTTGTTTTTAAAGACACTGCAGGAATCCTTTTTTAAAAAGGACATTGCAAGAATTTGCTTTGAAATTAATCCCTTTATTTGTTTTTCAAACCATGAATGGCTTTACTGGGTGGAAGCAGGTAGATCATACCTGCAGCTGTCTCTATGATGCCACTCTGGAGGCTCATGCAAGTAGGATGGTTTTAACATGCATTTTAGGGAAAATAATGTGCATGTTTACACTTTTCTAGCTGAAAATTATGCTACATGTGTTAAAATACGCAACTACTGAGTCCCCTAAAGACTTGTGATGGAATTAAGATTACCTAGTTGTGAGACTACAAAAAAAGTCAAAATTTTGATCTGTTTTACACATTTAATGAAGACAAAATTAATATTTTATATTTTTACAAGAAAAATTTCATTTCAGCTAACAAATCTTGTTTTAGCTTTGAATGATGAATACCTCCACACTTAGATGAAGCTATGTATAAAACTTGTATTCTATTCAGATCCATTAAGCTTATAATGAAGCATGAACTTGTGCTCATTGATGTTATTTAGTGTTAGATCAATAAGTACATCCCTACCTCACAGCAGAACAATGCTTCTCACAAGTTATAGTGGTTAATTTTGCAGTAGCCAGGAGGGGGCATGGCTAGGACACAGAGGGTATTCTATACCACCTCATGTCATTTTCTGGGGATAGGGGGAAGGGCTGTAAGGGCTCTCTTTCAGGTCAGGATAGGTTGAGTTGGGCTCTGCAGTGAGCATTTACATGTGAATTGCTCGCCTGTCTCTTTTACACTTTTGTTATTAATATTATTGCTGCTACTGTTCATTTTCTTATCTCACTGCTGTTTTTATCTCAACCCATGATCTTGAGCTTCTGTGCCTCCAATTCTCCTCTCCAGCCTACTGCAGGAAGGGAGGGGAGGAGAGAGAGAGTGGCACACGATTTGGAGGTTTTTGGTGGGAACACTAAATTGGAGGATGCAATTCCTAAAGTACAACAGCCTAATTTGGCACACAATGTGAGGCTCGAAGGTTTGAGATGAAAACACATCTGACCACAGTGGGTTGGAAGAAATTCAATCAAAGCATTTGTTATATTAGGTATGGAGCCACTGGTCACAGTGTTGCTTGGTTTGTTCACTGCTTGTTGCTGTACTGTGTGATACCAGCTTACAGCATGATAATATCAAGGACAATGAGGGTCCTTGGTGATGTGTATTCACTGTTGCTCTCCTACCCTTACCCCAGGCACTACCTTTGGGAGTCTATTAATAATCATACCTCATCTGTGGGGGAAACAAAGGAGGATGATTTTTCCCAGCTTTTCACCCCCTTTTCCTCCTTCTGACCTGTTACAACAGCTTTTGAGAATTTTGAATTCCCTTTGGATGTTGAGAAAAGCATGTTATTCTTTCTAAGTCTACCAGGTTTCCTCAGTGCAGTCTACCACACCATGTTTAGACTCAAGAAACTAAGGAGGTTATTCAGAGATCTGCCCAGGGGTGGGTAATCATGACTGGCATGGAATGTGGGAGAAAATGAGCCAGCTTTTGAGGGACTATTCTGCTCCAGTGGTTTGGAAGTTCACTGCTGAACAACTGCAGGACCCTGCTTAAGTGGCAGAGTATTTGAAAGAAAACTGCTGTGGCAGCTCCAGAGAGCTGCAAACTTATGCAAGTGCTGGGCCCTGGCTACTTTTTGTCGAACACCGCTCATTACTAGACAGCACCCTCAGGGAGAAGAGGAGAAAAGCAGACCAAGATGAGAAAAGGCACTGTGGTCACTGAAACTGCAGCTGATCCAGAGAAACAACCCATGCCAGTAGCAGAAGAAGAAATACAAGACAAAATCAGTTGACATAGTGAGGGATGAAGAAGAAGCAGGACTCTCAGAACAGAAGGAAGAGGCAGGGCCAGAGATAATCACTGGATCTCTATCTCTGGGTGAACTGCAAGATATGCAGAAAGATTTGAGCCAGCAGTTGGATGAGACCCTAGTGATCTATCTGCTCCAATGCTGGGATGTTGCAGCCCAAAATATGAAACTAGCTGGTAGTTAAGCTGAGCAACTGGGATCCCTGTCCTGAGATGGGGACATTGGCAAGGGGATTGGGAAGAGGACAGAAAGTCTCAGCCTCTGGAGGCAACTCCTGTCAAGCATAAGGGGAAGGTATTCTCTCAAGGATGATCTCGTAGTGTCTCCAAGCAGGTGGAATGTCATGGAGCAAGGTATCCAGTACCTGAGAGATGTGCTCGAGGTGATTTGTAAGGATTCGAATGACAAGCAGTTCCCCGTAGATACAGGCGACATCCAGTGTACACAATCCCTGTGGCACAGAGTGTGCCATCTCTCTGTCTTGTTGGTATTTATGTCAATGAAAGTAGAACAAACGTGACTACTCAGCTCAGGCAACATGAAGATCATAAATTTTCCTCCTTACTGATCTGTGCTTTGGCTGTGGAAAGAGTGTCCAAGACTGTGGGCAGGTTCAAAAGACTTGAGCACACCGGAGAGGAAATGTCCCATACACCACCAGTATGGACCAGAGTCTCTGCTGTTGGACAAGCACCCCCTACTCGAGAGAGAGGGCACACACCACGAGGTAACCTGTAGCTTTTCCTGTTTGACCATGGAGAAGACATGAAGTGAGATAGAAAACCCACCTCTGCCCTATCAGGATGGGGACATGAGTTGAAAGAAAGGACAACCATTGCAGGAAATTCTTCAAGGATAAATGCCACTCCAGTTTCCAGTGGGCAAGTCCTCAGACAGAATATAAGGGCTGATGTTACTTCTAACTCCAGTTCATATCTACAAGAAGTGAGCAATGAGTACTGTGACCAGGACTAAATGCCTCCAGCCAAGTGGAGGAAAGGGACTGTGTGGATCTGATGGCCTGGAAGGGCTCTTTTCTGGGTTGGGATAGCGTGGTGGTGGTCTGGTCTGGCTCTGCCGTGAGCATTTGTAGGTGAATTGGTCATCAGTCTCTTGTACACTTTTATTGATATTGTTGCTGTTACTGTTCATTTTCTTATGTCACTGCTATTTCAAGTAGATAGTTCTTATCTCAGTCCATGATCTTTACCTGCTCTTTGCCTCCAATTCTCCTCTCCAGCCCACTGCATGGGGAGAGCACTAGCAGGGAATGAGCAAGTGGCACATGGTTTGGAGGTTTTTAGTGGGCATTCTAAATCAGAGAATACTGCGCCTAAACCATGAGATTGAGAACTACTACTAGTCATAGGGGACTATGGTTGCAAGGAACTGGTCTGGTTTTGTATTAGGTATGTCCTTATGCTCTTCCTTATGCTCTTCACCTGCAGACCCTTTTCTGTCCTTTCTGTTAAGTGTCTTGCAGAGATAAAGCCTGACTTAACATGTATCAGAACAGGTGCCCAACCCTTTTAGTTTCCAAGTATTTAGCAATGTGACATGTCACAGACCTTCCTTCACTAAGTAACCATGCTGTAGGTGTGAATGATATTAAGCCCTACTGCCTTTTTATATTCAGTGGCTATGAGCAAACACCTTGCCTTAATTAATTTGTTTTACTAATTCACTTTAGGTAGCCATGAGGGAGCTGCCCAAACAGCTTAGAAGTCAAGTGTCTCTCTGAGCAGTCACAAAGGCAGTTTGGTGTTCCTTCCCAAGAGAATTAGACACTGGGGTTTTTAAGAGGCCTAAGGAATAAAGAAAAATCATAGCATTGAGAGATGATTTTCTGAGAGATGCAGCAGACACAGTAAAGAAATGTTACTTGGAAATATTTCTGTGTTTAGTTTCTGTTTTACCCTGATATTTGTCCATCAGACTCCTAACATAAAGCAGAATTGTTCTGCAGTGGAAGAATACTATTGATTGTTGTTCTATACAAAATTCTAACAGGACTTGTGCCCACTTTATGTATGTTATATTAATAAGAATAAGAAGAATTCAGCTCTTCTTATGCCTACAGGAGTTTTTCTCTGGTTAGTTTCCTTAATATTTTATCTTCCATTTGACATTAGTCAGAACACTGGCAAAAAGTTCAGTACAGTTATAGTAAGCTGCTGATTTAAGGAACTGATTTTGCAGTATATTTAAAGAATATTAAAGTTTGAATGGTCTGTGGGGAGTATTGCAGCTATGTCATCCTACACATATCCTTCTCAGCATAATGCAGGGTTACAGAATGACTGAATTAAGTTACAGGACTTTTTGAAACGTGCCACTTGAAAGACTGGAGAAAATCTTGTGATGCTAGAAAAGAACTTTCAATTCTGAGGGCTGGAAGGCATCTTCAGACTTATGTAATTAAGCACTTATGTAAAATGTCATATTCATAGCATCATAAAATACCCAGTTGGAAGGGAGCTCAAGGATCATCTGGTCCAAATTTCCTTGGCAAAAGCACAGTCTAGATGAGATGGTCCAGCACCTTGGATCATCATTCAGATGAATCTTAGGAGTGTCCAGCATTGGGGAATCCACCACTTCCCTGGGGAGATCATTCCAATGGCTAATTGTTCTCATTGTGAAAATTTTCCTCCTGTGTCCAATCAGCATCCCTCCCCCCCCCCCGCCCCGAGTAACTTGCTCCCATTTTTCCATGTGCCTCATCTTTTTCTTGTGCATCCTTGTAAAAAGGGCATCTCCATCTTCTTCATCGGCACCCTTTAAATACTGGAACATGGTGATAAGGTCTCCCCTAAACCTTCTTTTCTCAAGGCTTAATAAACCCAGGTCTCTCAGCCTTGTCTTACATGGTAGGCTTCCCAGTCCTTTCATAATTTTGATGGCCTTTCTTTGAACCCTCTCTAGCCTGTGTACTTCTTCTTTGCGTGGTGGGAAACAAAACTGAACACAGTATTCCAGATGTGGCCTGCTAGGCACTGAGTAGAGTGGGATAATGACTTCTTTGTCTCTGCTGGTGATGCCTTTGTTGATGCAGCCCAGTATTCTGGTGGTTTTCTTTGCTGAAGCAACTTTAGTACACTCAATTTGAATTCTCCACCAGGCCCCTCAGGTCCTTTTCCGCAGTGCTGCTCCCAACCTGAGTTGACTCCAGCCTGTGCTGCGGTCCTGGATTATGTTTTTCCAGGTGCAAGACCTTACATTTGTCCTTGTTGAACTTCATAAGGTTCTTGTTCACTCTTCCAGCCTATTCAGCTCTACTTGCAGGGTGGCTCTATCTTCTGAAGAGTTCACTTTCCCACTTGGTTTGGCATCATCACCAAATTTCATCAGGGTGCACTTGATCCCATCATCCAGATTACTTATAAAGATATGAATCATCATTGGGTCCAGTATTGATTGCCAGGGTACCCTGCTTATGACATGTTGCCAGATTGAAAAGGAACTGTTTACCACCACCTGCTGACAGGCCCCAGCCTGTCAGTCAGTTCCCCATCCACCACATGGACCACTTGTCTGTACTGTAATGCATCAGTGTCTTTAGAAGAAGGTAGTGGGAAACCCTATCAAAAGCCTTGGAGAAGTCCAGGTAGAGAATGTCCACAGATTGACCCACAACAACCAAACAGGTTACTTTCTTGTAGAAAACTGTTGGTGTTGTCTTTGGAAAAAATCAATAATCTACATCTGGCCAGCCATGGCCTATGAATTCTGTATCTGAAAGACTCAAATTCTCCACAATTTGTGTTAAAAATCAACAAACAAACGTCCAAATAAAGTCAAAGCCTAATTAAAGTAAAATGAGAGGTTTTTATGGTTGTGAAGTAAGATATACAAGTGCAATGTGTCTTGTTCTTCTCTAATTTCTTCTCAATTTTTTTTCTCCAGGGTGACAAAGAAGCAGAACTAGGGCTGCCCTTCTCTCCCCTGTGTGATCGCAAATCTACTATGGTTGCTCAGTCTCAAATAGGTATGTCAGCAGCATCTTAAAAGCAAAACTTTCTCTTCCCTGTAGGGCTGAGATCGCAGTGATCTCTCATCATTTGGAAATATGTTAAAGAGAAGAAATATAGTACAATAACATTATTTTTCCTAGATCAACCATTCAAAGCTGGGAAACCTTTACATGTATGGCAGCGATTCCATTCATTAACCAAGTTACTTGTGATGGCTCTGCAGAGATAACTACAGTGCCTGATCATGACACTTACTCCATGGTTTTCTGAGCTGCGAGGAACGGGCACACATGGCAACATCATGTGATATGAGTGACATTGGAGTGTATGAATATGTAATGTCAGTCCCTTTGATGACCTGCGCAAAACAATCTGTGGTTTTCAATTTATTCCTCCAACCTTTTCCTGCCAATACTTTAAATAACCATTCTTTTTCACTGAAGGCATGCAAGTAGCAAATCTTTTTCTTTCCACCCATTCAGAAAAAGAGATCTTTTTACAGACACACCAACAGCACTTTCTCTACCTTTCCTTCAGTTACTGAATGAAAAAGTAGGGGAAGGATGAGGCAACAAGCCTGGCACTCGGTGAGAGAGTAAGAGGGGCTAAGTGAAGTAAAACTGTTGAGGGGGCTTGGAGCAAAGAAAGGACAAGGGAAAAGGTGGATTTGAGGGTGGATTTTTATTATCTAGGAAGCAAGTGAAGTAGGTAGAGAAACATATTCTAACCTCGACTGGAGAGTAGATAGCTTAATAGAAAAACAAAAGAAAATAACATGGATGCTAAAATTGAGGGAATTGAGAAAGACAGACAGAGAATGTATTAAAGGAAAGCAAACAAAATATTTGAACCTTGAAATTTCTCTCGAACAACAAGACAAAGATATCCCAGAACCTAGGAAAGTGCAGATTCATATCTTTGGCTAAGAGCCATTTCTGCTTAAAACTATTTCATTGTTCCTGATAGGCAAGCCATTCTCTGAAGGACATCATCCCAGATTTTTCTGGCTTTGGAAGTTTAGACAGTTCAGCTAGGAATCTGAACTTGAAGAGCCCTATACAAGCCTGGCCTGGTTACCAGACTTGTAGTATTTACTCCTCTGCAACGATAACCCACAATACAACTGTGGGTTGTTCTGCCAGCAGCTCAGTAGAGGAAATCAGAAACAAACTTGAAATGCTTCAGTCTCAGCTAAAACTCATGTTGAAGACTCCTGGGCACATTACATCTATTGCTGTGCTGCGGGAGAAGATAAACTCTCTATCTCTCTGGTTGCTGTGAAGGAAAGTGCATGTAGAGACTTCTCTTTCACATCCCTTTTATCAGCTTTCAGATATGTTCCTCACTCCTTACAGGAAAGAGGAGTTGTGCCTCTCCCAGGGTCTCTCTACACAGGGTTGTGTATGCTTGGATACCAGTTTTTCTGGTTCTCTTCTTTTATGCTCCTTTGCTCAGAAAGACAAGGAGAACCAAGAAATATACTCATGCCCCACCAAAATATTAATGTTGAATTAAACCATCAGCAATACAATTCCACCTTATAAAAGCAGCACTTGTCAGTAGGCAAAGGCAGCCTTATTTAGTTATATACTATTTGTCATTATATTTGATTTTTGCAGTTTAGTAATCCATTGACGTAAGTAGTCTACTCTTTATAGATCTTGCCTTCTAACATTATAAAATGCTCATTTCTCAGTCTGCTGCACATATTGACAATGTTTTTCTCTTTTTCCATTCATTTCTTTATCTGCTTAACAGCCGTAACAGATTTTTCCCTGTAATAGTACTTAAAATATTTATTTGCAAAAGTAAATTCTTACTGAATTCTAAATTGTGCTATTATATGGTTAGACTTGACAATCTTAAAGGTCCTTTCCAACCTTAGTGATTCTATGATTCTGTCATCTGCACCAAGCAGCCATCAGTTGTCACAAATTAAGAACCTCTGTCCTTTGTGAAATAAAATTGTGATTTTGGTTCTGTCAAGAACAGAGACTAGAAATCCTGCTCTGGTAGCTCGACTTGTTTGTAGTTACTGGTTTGTTGCTGCAAGGTCATTGTAGATGCAACAACAGTGGACACACGTTTTCATTATCAAAAATTTACACCAATGCAGACTGAAGATTTTGGCAATATGGCCTTTTTAAATGAAATAAAGGAATCTAACAGAAAAAAAATTCCTCAAAAGAAAGAATGTGTCCCTCATGTTGCTTCAGTTTATGAAAAAATTGTTCAGAGTGTAGACTGATAAAGAAAGAAACCTGAATATCAATTAATGAACTTTATTTTGAAAACCTATTAATGTTAATGATAATGACCAATTTACCATCCTTTTTCTTATTCAGCAGAAGGAGTATGGCAAATATTTTTGTACCATAGTGAAGATGGGAGAGATTTGTGTCCAGAAGTCAAACTGCTTGTCAAAGTGAGGGAGAGAAACAAACTGCGAAGAGAACCAGACCAAGACTTTCATATTTCCCAATAAGTTTCTCTGGCTTAAACTCTAGGAGGCTAGTTTCCCTGAAGATCAGCCTTTGTTGTCATTGTCCTCTTTTGTGGCTGATAAATGTAGCAGCGTGCCTTTATTTTTGTCCTTTGATTGGCAAAAAAGAAAGTTACACCTTCAGAAAACATTGGATAAAGGCTGAGTGCATGCTGCAGTTTGGTGTGTTGCTGTGGGGGTTTTTTTTGTTGGTTGTTGTTGTTTTATGTTGACCTTTAGGGAAACTGTCCTCTACCCAGTTGATGTTTGCAGGTGGAATGAACAAACACTAGTCATATGCCTGGAATTCACCCTCAGCATGCAGCATTAATTGGTAAAATCATCTTAGTCACTAGGGTACAGAAATTTTTATCAAGTTCATTCTATTGAAGAAGAATAATAAAATGGTCATTAGCATTAGTAGGTTTAAAGTTCAGGTTCATTATTTGATATTCAGGGTTTTAATTAGCAAATTAAATCAACCTATTTAAATTTTATTAGAATTCCCATTGTAACGTAACATAGTTTAAAAACTTATTCATGTTGTAGGGAATAGAGGAAAAAATTTCACTTACCAAAGAAAAGTTCTCCTAAGTATTTGAGTTGGTTTACCTGTAGTCCCTTGTGCCACCTCTGCTCATCTTTGCTGATGAGATGCAAGACTTCTTGCAGGGAAAACTTGTTTCTTAAACACAACTAGATTGTGTTTGTGTGCAGCTGATGAGTATCTCAGGACACAAATCCCAACACCTTGCTGCTGAAGTTAAAGATTTAGTCATGTGTCTGGTATCAGAGATTTGCATGTCTTAGGGTTGTTAGTGGTGGTGGAGCAAATGGCAGTGGTATTACTTGCTGAGCAGAATGACAAAGTACCATGGCTTGGGTTTCTTTGGTCACCAAGAGGTAAATAAGTTTTTGAAGGGGAATAGAGATGTATAGAGACAGCCATACAAATATATGTAAATCAAGTTCTTATTATCCTTAGGATTCCTGTGGCACACTTAACACTGTTCTCAGTCAGTAAAATTTCCAACGCTTAAAAAAATTGTATAAAGTTTGCCAGGATTATCTGAGTTGTCATCTAGCATACAATTTCCTGTTTAGGCTTTACGCTACATACATTTCTGATTAACTACTGGAGAGTCCTTTTTTTCCTGAATTTGAATAGATAAGACTGACTCAGTGTGTTATGGAGGCACAGGATTCAGATTTTTGGATATGACCAAATGTGTGTTTTCTCCAGATTTACGGAACATTACTGGAGAGTAACATTTTTAATTTGACCAGGCATGAAAATACACTTAAAAATCCATCCTTTTAGAAATTTAGCAAAAATCAGGGAAGGCAAATGGAACTAGAAGGATGCTCAACTGCTTTACACTTGGGATGTGGATCAAAGCATCTGTGAATTCAGGTGCCTGAACCATGTGGTCTCTTATGCTTTTGTTGTTCTGGTGTCACCTAGAATCACCAGTGCTGTAGAAACATGTAATGATCAAGTCAGAGAAATTACAATATTATTAGGGAATAATTAATACTTGATAATTAACAAATCTCTGAAAATTGGATTTGTAGGGATTTGTAACAGTAATAATGTTAAAAAAAAATCTGGCAACAGTAATTGTAACGTGGATTCCAATGTGCCTTATGAGAGATTACAGGCATCAATTGTTTTCTTGGCTATCTGCAACACTAAGCAATTTGCTAACTGAAGTGGTAAAGGAATTTAGGGAGATTTATAAGGTACTGTAAACTCCTCACTCTCACATTTAGTCCTTGCAAATTGGATTTTACTTCATCTCGTGAGCTTATGGCCACAGGGCTCTTCAGTCTGCTCTCCCAACATTCAGATTGGAGCCATATTCGTCTCTGTCAAGCTGTATGATGAGGTAGAAATTATTTGGCTCTTTATTTTTTCCTTTACTTATATCAAAAAATGTGGGGAAAGCGTCTAAATCAGTTTTATTATCAACAAGAAAAGGCTGGCCAAGCACTGAAGAGAGAGTAGTCAGAGTAACCTGAATGCTGATGTGCAGTGAGGGACATCTGTGTGTAACTCCAAACCAGCAAAACTTACTGGTATTATTACTGTTATATTTATTTTCTGCCTTTAAAGAATTCTTCTTTGAAACTGGGTTTTATCCAAATTGCTAGAAATTTGACTTCAATATCACATTACTCCTCATATAAAAGAAGTCTTCATGAATCTTTTGATGATGTGATTTGCCACAGTTTCTTTCCAGTATTTAAGTTGGTATCTATAATTGCATGCTGTATGCAGGCTCTCAGGCCAGGGATTAATATATAACTCAGTTTCCTCTTTTTAGTATTTGCCTATCTCTCTTTCAAGTATAATTTTTTTTACACTGTCATCTACAGTGGTTGTCTGTATTCACGGAAGCAGAGACTGCATAAATCCTCCTCTTGCCTGCCTCTCTCTCCTTGTGTTTCTGCTCAGGTTTCATTGATTTCATTGTGGAACCCACTTTTACTGTGCTGACCGACATGACAGAGAAGATTGTGACTCCACTCATCAATGAAGCTTCCCACTCTGACATGTCTGGATTCAGGCGATCCAGGTGAGTAACCCTGCACCCTCCTCTTCGCTCTGCGTGTGCTGCTGTTGCACTCAACTCCCCTCTTTTCCTTCCCTACACTATATGTTTTCCACGTGGCTTAAAGACCCGTATCTACATTGCCAACGCTACAGCTCACCTTGTGAGGTGGCTTTGTGCCCGGGGGAGGGCAAAGAGGGAGGGTGGCATTCACCTGAGTCACGGCTCCAAAGGTAGCGAGCACAAATGGTCGTAGCCATGCAATCAGGCGCATTTCAGGGCTCTCTCAGTCACTAATGTCAGAAAGAAGGTAGAGTCACTGGGAGGCCTTCATTTCTTCATATCTAGAAATATAGATGGGATTGAAACAAAAATGATGACTAGAAAGTATAAGCACACTCTTGTGACAGTATTGTTATGCAGATGTGTGAAGAACCACCAGAATTCACCTGGAGTTCAGGTATAGGAATTCTTGACCCATTCAACCTGTATTATGGAGATACTGATCTTTAGGTAGTGGGGATTCAAATGCCTCATGGCTAGCGCTCCCTAAAGTACGACTACCCTCAGGATTCCCTCTCCCAGGTGACTTCTTTACTCTTGGGTGAACAAAGAGCAAGCACTTGTATCTTTCTTTGTCGGTAACCTTGTTGCCTTTATTAAAATGTGCGCAATGAAGCATCCATTCTTGAAAGACAACTGTAGGATCTGTAACCGAAATGAGTGCCTGATTTCAGCCTCAGCTGAGGTCACCAAGCCCTAGGCAGAGGTGGATCTCCTATTCTGTGCCTACGGGCTCCCTTTAGTGAATTTTAGGAGACTCCTCCTTTGACATATTTTATTTCTAGAGTTGTCTGACTCTCCAATAATATTTAGGGAGTGGAGATGTACAACAAGAGTAGTGACATCCCTTTGACTGATTCTATTTCTTAATAACTGTGGATACCAAAAACTAGTCAGAGAAAAGCTGCCTTTTATTTCTAACACTGGCTTGGTTGTGGTCTTTGCTTTAACATTGATTGGCCTTGGGTGGGACAGGAGAGAAGGGAAGGATAAGGGACTCAAGCTTAGTTTTTCCTGGGTGACTCTGTTATCCAACTTACAGCTGTTATTTCTTCATAGTTGTATTCAAGTGTACAGGATACTGATTTCTTCTGTGTTTTGTGATATTGTGCCCCAGCCTAAATAACATTAGTCCCTCCGAAGTTAAAAGATCAAGTGTCAAGAGCACTGGGTCCGAAGGAAGTGCCTCTCTTAACTGCTCCATACTCACTGTGGACTTCAAATGTTTTAAAGCCACCTGGACTGAGGTGGTGCAGCAGAACAGGGAGAAATGGAAAGCACAAGCCACCAAAGGTAACAGCCAAACTTCTTAGTGAAAGAATTTAAATTCTTTTGACCTCTTCTTCTTCAAGCGCTTCTTCAATCAGATTATTCTCCAAGTAAGCACTGTTAGATTGAGAGAATCTGCTTTTTTGAATTCAACAACCATGACTGAATTCAGAAGAATAGGAATATTTTGACTCATCTGTGCCCTATACTTGCCTTGAGAGTACCTTAGATACTCTTCTTAAGAGTACCTTATGCTCTTCTTAAGGGTGTCTTATACACTTCTTAAGAATAACTTGTATTTCTTATGTAAGTGTACATAATTAAGAGGATGTGGACAAAAGGAGGGAAAAAAATTGTCAGAGAGTTCCCCTAAAGCCACAAATCAGACTCAGGGTGGTGCAAAAATAGCTGGAACAGTATCTGTAGATATAGGTTATCAATAGTTCATTGTTAAGGTTGAAAGAGGCATAAATAATATTTCAGGGGAGAAGGATAGAATATTCCAAATTCATAACTGGTTTCATATTTCTGGTGATAAGTTGGAAAATTAATTGGAAACTATGCTGCAAATACTTGTGATGTCATCAATCTGGGAAGAACTGTAATTATTTCAGAAGAATATGAGGGTTGTGTTGGTTAAATGTTGACCAGGGTTCAATACTCTAATGCAATTGAAAAAAAATTTCCAACATCCCCCCACCACTGAAAAAAAACCCAAACCCGACCCAACCCGAACACACACACTAAAAAAAAAACCCCAACAGACTTTGCTGAGACTCCTCTGGCATTCTTCCCATCTTTCCAGCAGTAACAAGGCCATCAAAGCTGTGCTGTGTCTAGTTTTGGCCACTGCTGTTCAGGAAACATATAGACCAGTTGAAGATGATGCTGAGTTCAGGAATGCAAATTATGATAACTTCTTTATAGCTGAGAAGGTGTATAGTTGAAAGCATTTTTTTGAAGACTACTTCAACTGCAAAATAAGGGAACTAATTTTTATTCAAATACCCTGGGCTGTTAAGAGGAGAAAAAAATATCAGGTTATTATAAACATTATTATGATGTCTAATGCGTTAGACATTAGCAACTCTCTTACTGGAGTTCTTTCCTAAATAATGACAGCCAGCTTTTGAGAACAATGTAGTTATAACTGCCCCTTACCTCCAGGGGCTGGATAATTGCCCAGAGTCTCCTTGAGCCCTCAGGTGATTTTGCAACCAAAAAAGGAGGAATGTTTTTTTTGTTGTTGTTTATGAAACTGGAATGCAATTTATTCTGTGATTTAAATGGTTATTACTCAAACCCTATTTTAATGAAGTTGGTTTATTTCATGTAAATGGAAACAGTTTGATTTTAATGTTTCTATGTGTGTTTAGCAGTACAAATATACATTTTTTTTTAATCCTGGAAGAGTTATACAAACAGATGGCTCAGCATACCTTTCTGTGTTCTTGGACTCCAGAGTACTTTCATCAGTGTTTTTGCTCAGCTGCTGTCTTGCTCCTGACTTGTAGCAATTTTCTGCACACTAGTCCATCTGCCTTGGCTGTGTTAGTCTTATGCAGTAAGGCCTGCCACACAGCAGGGACTGAAACTGCTAACCCCTTCCAAACCATTGTCAAGATGCCAATAAAAACAGTTACTATCAAGAGAATACAACATTAACTGTTAGTTGACAGCAAATAGCAATTGGGGATCAGAAGGGAAGGAATCTACTAGTGTTACTTTTGTAGCTAATACTGTTATTAAATTATTTGTACAATACTTTATTCCTGTTGGTAATGGCATTGTTCCTAGAAGACTTAGTGAGCAGTTTTTATCCTAAGTGTGATATTTATAGAAAATTTCTCATACTGTGTCATCAAAATAAGTGGGTTTATTACTGATCTTTTTTTGCTTAAAAGATCAACATTAAATAGCTACAAAATAGAGAACTGAATACATAAACACCCTGATGTGCAAAGCACCATTTAGATAAAATATTTTCTAACACTGATTTTGACAGGAGGCACTCATCCCGTGGTATTGTAGCATGCCCAAGTCTCCTGAGATAAATTTATCTCTTGTGGCTCAGGTGGAAAATGCAGGGTTTTTTTTCAGATCCTCAAATGAGAGGAATCCTTCTGTATGCAATGGGACCCTGAGATTAGCTCAGTTGGTTAGAGCATGGTGCTGATAACACCAAGGTCATGAGTTTTATCTCTGTACAGCCCATTCACTGAAGAGCTGGACTTGATGATCCCTGTGGGTCTCTTCCAACCCAGAATATTCTGTGAAATCTGTGAGACTCCAGAAAAAATATCAACATGTATAGCTTAGCTATCTATGGAAGCTAGCATAGATTTCAGGAATGATTAATGGAGTGAGAGGGACTATTTGAATTATGGTTTTGTGTGAACCATAATTTATTAATTTTAAAATTAGTTTATGTAACTACTGACAAGGAAATGCAGATTGGCATTTCTTATAAGGACAGTTTTCCACTTTTGTACCCCATTGGTACATTTTTCTTTAAACTGGTTCTGATTCACTCATAAGCAGTATTTGACAATGTAATTTTTGCATACTGGCCAAGATCCTGCTCCTGTGAGGAACAAAACATCTTCCTTGTACATGTCACAAATACTTCCCTAGGACTGTGGTAGACTTTACTCAGCATTTCATAGGATCTGCTTCTCTGTTAGTCAGCTTATATAGTTTCTCAGAAAACAAGAGATAGATACATCTGTGGATTCTTATCGCAATTAAAATCACTGCTTAACGGGGTCATAAGGAGTAGGCCTGAATATTGTCAACCAATAATAGGTTGGTTAAATCTCTGTGCTAGACTCAGCGTAGATACAGGTATGATCCGAAGCTGCATAAGCTCACAGGTTCCAGATTGAGTGTGTGCTGAGCTACTCAGCTGCTTTTGCAAATTAAGTCTCTATTGGTCATGCAAAAGGGGAAGAAAATAATGGAGCCTCTGCCCAGAGTTTGTGCACACCCAGTCAGGTTTATTAGTTTGAGGGCTGTCTCGAGGGACTGTGGTTGTGCTCTGCTTTTCAGTGGGATGCAGGAAGCCACACAAAGCCCTTGCTGCTGAGTCTGTTGGGGAGTGCTGCATTTGACCTGGGCTAGAAACAGGTTGTAGTGGTCTCTATAACCTGGAGCAAAAGTCATATGCAACCTCTCTTACAAGTAAATGTTATGTAAGTACCTAATGTTTGGATGAAAACAAGGATAGTATCTCGAATGGAGGAAAATGGCTTCTTTGTGATATTTTTTTTTAATTGACTGACATTACTTTGAGATGCTGCTGTTGTTCAACACTCACTTTTTAATTTATACCTTTGTATACTTGTAACTGACTGTAAAACTTTAGGGGATGGCACAACAAGTATTAGTAGCAATATATTAGTCTGCCAGGAAAGGATGGAGCCATAAAGAAAGGATAACTCTAAGTGGAAGGAAAGAGATAAAGAAGATGGCATTGGAAGCCACCTGGAACAAGAGGGAGAAAAAGTAGATATCAAGGAACTAAGACTTTATCTGCTTAGAGTTACCTGGTAGAATGTAAGACTAAATGCTCTTTGACTCCTGTGTGTCAAAAATGAAAATAGCCTCAACACCCCTAGAGCCTTCAGTAGCTAATATCTCTTTTTGCCTTTTAAGGATTTTGTGGAACCACCTTTTCAAAGGTGAACTTTATATGGTAAAAAAAGGACATGCACATAACACTCACTTAGGCCAGCCTGGGATATTATTTTCAGAATACTTTGTTAAATTTCCTCCTGTGCTCTTTTTCTGTTGTCTAGTCATTCCCTATATTTTTTTAAGTAAAAGCTGTTTGCTTGTGAAATACTGAAGTAGATTTAGATGTGAGTTGTCAAATTTAATGATAGTTGTGATTTCTTTCCTTGTTTTGCTTCTCTCTTTGATGAGGATGCAGAAGAAAAAGCTAAGAAAGAAGCAGAGGAAAATGCCTATCAGGAAACAGATGAAAAGGAAAGAGATGAAAAGGATAAGAAGCCAGCTGAAGATGCCACAGCAACAAATACAGAGAACAGCAAAGAATCAGATCCTGGGGAAAGCAAAAACACAGATTCCAGTAAAAATTCTGTAAATGAGACTCAGCAAAGGGGCATGAACAAACACAAAGCCTCTCAAGGGAAAAACACACCTAGGACAGATAAGGGAATGGACTCTCATCTCACAGTGGGAGAAGAGAAACCTCATGTCCAAAATGGTGAGTTCTCTCCTTTCACTGAAACATAAATCCAGCCCTAAAACCAGTATCTCGCCTTACTGATGGGGGAACGTGATGTTCTGGACCCAGAGTCTCTTCCTGTATGTAGGCATAGTCACTTGCATATGTAAATCAGAAACTCTATGTTAACTTCTGAGTAGGTTTTTTCTATAGAAGATGGCATTCGTCATACCTGCCTGGGCACTTTAAGAGGAAAGGAAAAAATATTTATCTCATGGGAATGAAGCATCCTGTTATGATACACAGTCTTGAAAGCTGAAACAAATGTTCTTGTTTCAATGAATGTTGTTGCTTGGGTGGAGAAGAGAACAGAGGAAAATTCAAAATTGTCTTATAAACTCATTTTGAAGCCAGTTAAAGGCATCTTTGATTTGAGTCTCAGATATAAATATGTTTTCAACAGAGGATTTTTCTCCTCTATTTTTTTTTTAGGATTCATTTTATCTATCCTTTTGCTCAGTTTTATTTAATAAGGATAGTCACAAGCCTTCAGTTTTGGGGGGGGGGGGTGTTGACAGAAATTTTATTCCCATGTTTTTAACTTGCTGTAGAACTGAGTTTAAAATAAGAATCTTATTCTGCAACCAAAAAAGATGGAAAAAAAAATGTTTGAAAAGTCCATTAAACGTAAAAAAACTTATTATACCCAGGAGAACACATCAGTTATATCTAGGTTGTTTCACTGTCATTCCCTGGAGAGGTTCTGCTCCCTGAAGCTGATATCAAAAAATGGCAGTACAGCCACATATGACTTTTCACAAACTTGGCTAGTATCAGGCAGTGCAAAATTAGCAAAAAAGTCACTTAGAAGATTTGTCTTAGAAAAAGACTGAGTAAGCATATAGGCTTTGTAAGTCCCAGGTTTAAGCAGTGAGTTTAGATGGCAGGAGATGCTGAAATTCTGTTTAAAGCATTCCTGATATTATTTTCATGGTTGCTGGCCCTTCCCAGTAATTCCTTCATCATTATGGTTTTTCTAGATTGGAAGGACTGTGGGAATCAGAGCTGTCATTCTCTTCTATGATTTTCTTTAGTGTTACATGGGTGAATAGGAATGGGCCCCCCAGGAAATCAAAAATGTTAGGGACATATGAAATCCCAGTTGGACTGCATTGGATATTCATTTTGAAATCCTTTGTTTTACGTGCTTCTAACAATGTGGGGATTAAGTGTGCTCTAGTGATTTTGATAGTACCTTTTTCTGCAATGTTTCTCTGCTGCAGGTATCAAAAGTGCTTTGAAAGGGATTATAGTGATTTCTGACAACTACTGTCTTCCTCAGGAAAAGAAATTCTGCTCTTTAATTTATGGGATTATGTACCTTTAGGAGGTACAATCACTGCAGAGTCTTTGGGGACTTATGAAATCTTAACATTCCTATCTCTGGATTCATCACAGCTTCCCTTATGTTAATATCTCACCATAATGTATTTACCTCATTATTTCTCTGCTTCTTTACTCCCTTTCAGAAAGATCATTATGATCATCATTCTGCTCTGCTGCTGGCACTATGGCAGGGTAGATATTACAATACTCAAAAGTCTCCTATTCATAATATTCAGTGAAAGTTCAGAAATTGTGTGTCAGGTGAGTTTAAGGTCTCTCTGTCACGCTGCCTGTGTGCTCTCAGGGACTGAGAGACTGAACTGTGAAATAATGTGTGTGTAGACGTGCAGCATCTTTTCCTGCACACACTTAAGGTCAAGCAACTTCTTTATGCAATGGTCAAAACCCATTATTATCTCATAATTACCATCATCTGTATGGTGGTGGAGGAAATGCAAGAAGACTTTTGTGCTTTGCTAGGTACATTTTTGTCAAACAGACACCTCAACCCTGTTTGGATCTGCTCATATCTCTCTGTTCAAGTACCCCAAGTTAGTGTCAGTGTGATCAGCTGAGGAGAGTGCTGTTTGTCCTGTATCTTGCTTTCATTTTTCTCTCATACACACAGTGAGTTTAAAAGATGAACAGAACTTGTCTTTTTTCTGTCTTGTTAAATATTTTAAGATTTGAAAACCATTCTTCTTTTCTACTATGATGGATCTTAATTGGAGAGAGAGATTGATCCACTACCATCCAAGAATAACAAACATGTCAGTGGTTAAGGCACATTGTGGAAGAGGGAGAACATGCTTCTTTTCAATTTTTCTTTTTTTTGGAGCTATTCCAAAAATAAAGATCCACTGCCCAGGAGTATTTTGAAGGCAAGTCAGATCCTCTTTAATATGTAATACCTTTAATCTTGATCCAAAGACTGGGAAGTACCAAAATAGGAATAGAAATAGAATAAGCATCACTTTAATACAGCGCTGTAGCATGCCTTATGTTTACAAATTTCTGAAGTGAGACTTTTACAGCTTTTTGTGTTAAGGTGTGTGTTACAAATTCACAGCCATTACTCCATGAGGAAGGAACAAACTGCCTGCTCCCATCTCGGCAGGCTGGTGTTGTTTCACTGGATATCTGAAGGAAGGACACCTTCTTTGCTGATGTTTGGACACTGCAGCTGAAATAGCTTTGTTCTGCTACAGCTCTCCCTTTGAAGTTATTTTTTATTTGATCTTGCAGTCCATTCAGCATTCTTAGTCAATGAAGGGGTGGTCTGGGAAGGTCTGTTGTGCTCTGCTGTATGGCTAATAGAGGACAGAAAATGAGAATGACTGGTTAACTTTCCTGGCTTCATAAAATACACCCCAGCTCAAGCTGCCATTTTAATTCTGCATCAACCATTGCTGTGCCAAAAGCCTTGATTTTCTGGTTTGCTAAAGAGACTCTAAAGCCAGTTATCAATGCTATGATGATTGTTCCCTGATACAGTCATCAAAGGACCAACCCAAATGAATGTGTGGATAAAGGAATCTGGTAAGAAAAAGCAAGATGAAATTATATAGGCCTATTTAGGATATTTAAGGTGGTTCTTTAAAACAGAAACTTATGATGAAGTCTTGCAGGGTCTTAGTCCCTTAAAAGCATAAATGTTTCAGAGTCCTGATTTTGAAATGCAGTTTATACTCAGGTTTTTAATGGCCTGCATACAGTCAGAGGGATGAAGAGTTTGCATGTGCACTTTAAAAGGTTTTAGTAATTAGAATACATTAAACATATAGTGTAAAGTTTGCTTTTCTGTAGGAGATGGATAAAGTTTTTTGGTGCTTTATTCCTTTTGAATTCAGACTTTTTCTCCTAAGGAACATCTCCTTTGGATGGTCCCATTTGATTGAGTTATAGTCATTAATAAACTGCAGTCTGCGTTAAAATCCTTATAGTGTTTCTTATCGTTTTTTTCTAGGTGAAATAAAGGAAGACAATAAGTTGGACAAAAGAGATAAGTTCAGTGTGGGAGACGAATCAAAGAAAACAGATGGTAAGGACAACATTTTATTGCATTTTTGTCATCCATTTTTATATGCAATCTATTGGCTCCTAAATATCTGTAGTTTATTCTAAAACAAAAAAAAATGTGTGGTAAACAGAAACAGACTTAAGGTCATTAGATTTGAAAAAAAGCCCTTGGGGCATTCTGAGGGAAAATCATTCCTTTCACATAATGCCTAGCACCATTTAGTTGAGCTGGTAAGCCTTATCCATCAATTTTTTGTGCAGTGCCTGAAAGAAAAATCCTGGATTATTAGAGTTGCATAGTAGGAAATGCGGATTTGTGAGATTCTATCCTTCTGACTTTCTTTGGGCTGTATTCTGCTGTCTGTAAGGACAGGCTGCATTTGAGATGAAGAAAACAGAGCTAAGAAAAATACTGCACAAGATGTCCCTGTTTTACATAATCACATGTTATACTACACCGATACAAACACAAATCTTTCTTGACTTAGTTGTCTGAAAGGGAATTTGCCCAGTGTTGTCAAACCAGTGGTGTGAGAAGCAAGCAGCATTGAACACATCAGCGTAGAGGCCCTCTATTGAAAAGGGAAGTGATGAAACATCATTGAGCTGAAGCAATCTCAAGCCATAGGATGACTTCATGGCAATAATTTCAAATGAGTCTGAACCTAGTGTAGAGATTCACAGACATTTTTAGCAGCCTCAGCAAATTCGAAAAATAACTCTAAATTCTGTGGTTTGTTTACTCTTATGCACTTCCTCCCCTGTGTACCACAGGGCTCTGAGATGGTATGTGAATCCACGTTGCTTAAGGCAATTGCTGAAGTATTAGGTAGCAAACTAAATGGAAACAGGTTTTCTAGTATTTTCTCTGTATGTCTCAGTGAAATTCACTGAAACATAGCTATTCCTAAATGTAAATAGTACAGTGCTTTGCTTTGATGGTCAAGAAAGACAACTTCATTGTAAGCAGTGCAGTTTAGTATGATACCATGTTTTCTTTTATTGCTTCTTTTTAGGAAAATATTTAAATTCCTATTGCTCTAGCAAATGTTGTAAATAAGAAAATATTTTACCTCAGTTAAAAATGTAGAAAATTTCATCTAGAAGCATGTATTAATTTCAGACATAAAAATGTACTTTTTCTTAAGAGGCTCCTTAGTAGCAATTCCTTAGAAGAATTCAGTTATTTTGTTAAGAGGTCACATTACTTACATAGTTGTGTTAAATGTCTGTCAGGAAAACAGTCTTGAACAAGTACCATTTACAATTCTTACTGTGGTCATGCAGAAATTAAACACAAACACTCAAATAACACGATACCCTTCAGATGTTCCTGAGTATGTGCAGCTCTGTGTGTAACTATCAAGACCCCAGCAGAATGACTGTTCTCCCTGCTCTGGTGGGTGATGGCTGAGCAACAGCTCTACTTGAAGGTTGCAGCCCTTGCAGGACCATGTGAATGCAGAAACATTGTGGCTTTTTTATGAGTACTCAGGAGCACCATCCCAACCAAGAGAGTAGACCTATGAGTCCCTAACTTTGAGGACAAGGTTACATTTGAAGGCCTTCACTGTCGGCCGACCAAAAGGTGAACATTTCATGTGGACTTAATGATCAAGGGTGTGAATTTGGTTCCTTGCAAGTTGTTCATCTTTGTTTGGTGTTATTTGTACTTGTTATTTGTTGTTTATTCTCCTGTAAGAGAAAGTTCTGCTCGTCTCTTTAGGGAAAAGACTAATACCATGGCACCAGTTGAATACAGTGAATAAGCAACTGTAATTATGCTAGTGCATTACAAGGACAACTTGTAAGCTGAATGTTTTTCATTCAGACACTGTAGAGGCAGATTATAGCTAATGATCTCATTGATAAGAGTCAGGAGAAAAATTGTGAATTATGCACCTAAGAAAATAAAGCACGTAGCACTTCTGTTTTGCCAAATACTGCACAACTTGTTCTGTCCATTACTCACTCCAGAGCAAATCACCTTACCAGCCATATGAGGCCTGTGGAAAAAGACACATGATCCATGGATAATACCTAGCTGTTTACAGGCTACTGAAATGTTTGCCTGAAAATATGTTTTCTCTTGTGCCAGTGCATGGTCTTTCACATACCACATGCTGGAAAAAAGATGGAGTGAGTGAGTTAAAAAGATTGAGATTATGGCTACAATGTACTCTTGCTATCTGCTCTTTATGTTCGCATGTAACACTAACACTTGTGTTACAAACGGGGTTGTTGGGATGTGAAAACAAAATCTGATTTTAATAGAAAGAGAAAACCTGTAGGATTCAGTTTCTTCCCCTAAATTTTCAACAGTGTAATCCTGGATAATTGTGGTGTCATCTTGTGGTTCCTTCAGAATTAAATATGGTTATAATGCTGCGGAAATGCGTATTTGAGTAGGGAAAAGAGGAACCACAAGCAAATCCCACAAACACTTTCATTCACAGGGACTCAAGCATGCTAAGTAGCTTGTGGGAAAAAAAAACACCTGCCCACAGAACCCTTATTCCACATGACACTATCCTACAGTCTGCATTTATTCTTTTTAGGAGAGAAAAGAGATTTTTCTTTTAAAGCCACTTTGAAAATCATGTCTTGTCCTGACATAGCCTGACCTGGCACTGGAGGCCGTGGGGACGTGTCCTGAGCCCTCTCTGGGCAGCACTGTGCTTTTGGGAGCTGGAGGAAAGAAATGGATGTAAAGGGCAGGCATTTATTTGGAGTGGCAAAGCTGACCACCTTCAGAAGAGCACTGTGAGGGGTCAGCTCTCCACTTCCTGTTGGTTCAACCAGCATCACGCCTGTGATTTATGCTCAGTAAGGAGCATGAGTCAATACAGAACAGGTGATGTTTTTGAGTTAGTCTAAACTCTCACGTGAGTTTAAATGCCTCTGGGGTTGTGGTCCAGTCCTCTGTACATCAGTCTGTATAGATACACAGTTTCATAGTCCAACAAGCAAAAGTTAAAAATGCCTTAGTATAAACTACAAACTGATAGCAGAAATGGACTTAATAATCTCTTTGTGGTGGGTGCAAGTATCACATGAGGGGCTGTGGAAGTCACAAGCATTTACATTGGTCATCAAAGGGAAGGCCAGTACTCAACCTTGACAAACAAAGTATGTTTGTCACTGTCGCTGAAGGACTGACATGTACATGCAGGCATGGATACTTCAGATAATAATGTTACCAAGTGAACTACCTAAAGTCTTCCTATATACAGAACACTCCATATTCATTCTTTTTCCTCTTTCAATTACCTCTATCCATACATGCTATATTTGTACTAGAACTATTGTGTTTAAACGAGAAAGAGGCTGAATCACAGCCAAAGTTAAAGTTTTTGTAGGGAAACTGAATTATACCCAAAGGGAAATTTGACTAAGAAACCAGCACATCTGCTCCACCAAGTAGAAAAACAATTCAAAGCAAATGCTGCCCTGGAATGTTCTTACTGGAATTGATGTTGTAGCTAACAGAAGGAAAAAGCAATATATCATAGAATGTTAAGGGGCTGGAAGGGACTTTGAAGATCATCTAGTCCCAAATTCCCCTGCTATGGGCAGGGACACCTCCAGCTAGACCAGGTTGCTCAAGGTCTTGTTCAACCTGGTTTTGAACACTGCCAGTGTTGGGGCATTGACAGCCTTTGTGGGTTGACTCAGTTCTCTACTGGAAACTTCTAAAGTCTGGGAAAAAAATTGCATTTTCCCTTGTTTCATTAATGGGGATAGGAGGCATTAAAATTCTTGTGAATATGGATGGTGTAGTAAAAAGACTGTATCTGGGGTGGTATTCGGAGCTCTATTTCGTATTCCTGGTGTGATTCAGCAAATCCTTTAAGAGATTCAAGTATGTTATTTAGTCCACCCACCTCAAATGATTGCCTTTCCTTCTGGGCCAGTCTTTTCTCTTTAAAATGTTACATGTCTAATGATACGTGCCACAGGATTGTTATGATCCTGTTAACGACAGTAAATCAGGCTGAACCTTTCAGTTGGGAAACATTAGGGAAGTGTAGTACTGTTGTTATGGCTGTTACTGTTGCCTGTTGTAGTTTATGAGGGAAATGTGTCAATTCAGTCTAAATAAATCCAGTGAAATGCTGAAATATTAGTTCTTTAAAAGAGTGTCTTAGAATTGCATCAGTGAGCAATTTACTGGGAACTATCCTGAAAAGAAAGGTTCTCATGCATTTTGTACAGAAGGAAAAGATACCAACTCATTAATAGATCTGTGCAGCCAATGTATACATTCATCACAGACAATGCAATCCAGCAGAAGAGATCTTTGTTTTGGCAGTCCTTTTTCTCCTTTGCCCAAACACTACTTTAAAAAAAAAAAAAAAGAAAAAAAAAGAAAAAGACATATCTATATCTACATAATCTACATATACACACACATATATAAACAGTTTTCCTGAGAGGGACCAAAAGACATTCTGTTGTAATCACATCTTCCAAGGCATGCCCAGCCTTACAGATGAATTCATCTCTCCTTGGGCTGAATCTTCTTGGTTGCACTTTCAGACTCTACTGACATAAGCATTGTCAGAATAACTGTAGCTAAGCAGGATGGACAGCCAGTACAGAGTAGAATTCATGTTCCTGTTTGAAGTTTTCCCAGAGGATTTCTAGAGAGGTATATAAGGACAATTGAATAGAGTGCCCTCTTCAAATACAAACTGTCCTCTTTCACTAGAAATAAAAAAAAAATTTTCTTGTCTACATTTCTTTCTCAAGGATGTCACAGATATCCCTATTGTGAAGATGCACTTGTGGTATAACTACATAGAAAACAGTTATGTTTGTACATTCAGGATAATGTCAGTCAAATATAGCCCAATTATGAGGCCAAAGGATTATAAGTATTTGACAGAGGAGGCAAGCAGGTTCTAAACTGCACATATTTTGTTATACCTTTGGCACCTCTCCATACGTAAGGCTATGCTTTTCATTGAAAGCTCATTGGGAGAAAAGGATTTTTAAAATATAGTGCTCTTTTGTGTTTGG